GCGAAAAGGGTAGTTGCAGTAGGTGTGCTTTCTGTTACATACTTTCAACACCTAGCTCTTAATTTTCTTCCACAGTATTTCACGTGATTAATTAATTGCCGGTCATTGCGCAGAAGTGTCTTACGGGCTGAAGTTGAAAGGTCACGGGTCAAAGTAGGAAGTGGGTATACCTCAAGAAATGGCTCTTCATATCAACCTTTTGGTGGCTTTCGCGGTTGAAACTTCAGCTGAGTTTATGCATTATTGCAACAGTGGTGGCCGATGTTTTCATTCCATTCCTCAATAGAAAGTGCTGGCACATTGTCTAAGATATTATATAAGACTTTTGTGTGCCCTCCCCCACACTGTACATATGTTGTGGTTAAGAAATTTTTATAAAGTGTTTTGTGTGTGTGTGTGTGTGTAAGGACGTGGCGTCATCTAGGAACGTAGTTAACGTACGTGAAAGATGATAAATGTTCAATAATAACAATAATGATAGTGGAGGGGTTGTGAACGCCCATTAACATGCCCCATATTCCAACCTATCATCCCACAAAGTTTGGTTGAGATTGGCCCAGCAACCTAGGAGTAATTAGATAACAGACAGACAGACACACAGATTTTTATTGCTATATATATATATATATAATATAGAGAGAGAGCTATCATTATAAATGAAAATAAGAATACAAATAAGAATAAAAATTTAAAACAATTAATTATATTTTCACGTATTTGAAAAAACTTTAATAATGCTAACAGGTAATTGGGTGTTTCACATTGTTAAAGAACAACAATGTCACATTTCTAAAAATCAAAACATGGCTAGTAATCTGGGTTTAAAAATAAAAATAAAATAATAATAATAATAATAAATGAAAATATATAGATTAATTAATTAATTAATCAAAAGTGAAGAATATATACGTGTGTGTGTGCGCGCGAAGAAAAGATACATGTTAGTTTGTGCAAAACATCATTATGTGCTCGCATATGCTTATACGCGCGTGCGCACACACACACACATACCAACATAGGTAGAGTTATAGCAAAGAAAACATTTTATAATTGCCTTGGGGTGAATTGGATCAACCAGTAGATGAGTTGATTTTCACCCTTGTGTCTCTTTTTCTTGACTTTCGATGAATGATAGAGTGCCAGGATTCTGAAATGGCTAATGTTATGTTCATTATTATTGATATGTTTAACTAGAAGTTTGTCTGAATCATAATTCTGGTTCGCGTGCTCGTTCAGTCAACATCCGACCTGTTTCTCCCACGGTTGTCCACAATATAAACATGTAATGCAATAAATTAGGCACGTGGATGTACAGATGAACAACTGTTTGATTGTGTACTTGGACTTAGGTCTATGTACAGAAGTACTAAGTCCAAGTACACAATCAAACAGTTGTTCATCTGTACATCCACGTGCTTAGTTATATCAACACCAACATGTAGGTCTATGTACAGAAGTACTGGTGTTGATATAACTAAGCACGTGGATGTACAGATGAACAACTGTTTGATTGTGTACTTGGACTTATGTCTAAGTACAGAAATACTGGTTTGATGTAACTGCATACGTTGCACCGTGAACGTGTACATCAACGTGTACCACACCGAAGATGAGTGATTTCTTCCGGTGTCTTCAATCGTGCACGAACTAATAATTATTTTAGTTTTTTTCCGTGACGGTATGGAATGATAGATTTATCCTTAAATGTTTCTTCCAACGTTCTGCCGTTTTAAAGTATCCCAAAATTGTTTTTAATTATTTTAGAAACCCGGATGTTTTGTTGAGGATATATCAATATCAAAAGGACTTACTTTTTACGATCATTCTTTTCCGTCTTCAGCTTTAGTGCATTATTTTGACTGATCTTTGCAACATCTTTGCGAGCTAAGTTGATTATGTCTGGAGGATAACTCTTAATCTGAAAAAAAACAAAAAACTTTACATTTCGTCAGCTTTTTTGTTAAAATCGGATTTGGATTTTAACAACGTAGGCGATGAAACTACGATTTTGGAATGACATTTTTAGTTAAAATCATAAATAATATTCAACGTTAAACTGGTACACAATTACAAACATTTTATTTAGGCTTATCTATGGCCTTCAAAAAGTTGACAAAGTGGATTCTGTATGCGAATATTAAACGCCAAAAAAAACAAAAAACAATGGCTCAGTCCTAGACAAAAACCACTTCCTGGACTCCATCTGCAGAAAGTGATGCTTTGCATTTGGTGGGACATCAAAGGAGTAATTAATTTCGAACTCCACAATCCACAGCGAACTGTCAATGCAGAGATCTATAGTGAGTAAATGGAATATTTAAATCAAGCCCTTCATCAGAAACGCCCTTCACTCGTCAATCGGAAAGGTGTTCTTCTCCACGACAATGCACGTCCACATGTGGCACGTTTGACGCACAACAAGATTATGGAGTTGGGTTGGGAAGTTGTCCCCCCACCCACCATATTCTCCAGATATAGCACAGTCAGATTATCATCTTTTTTCGTTCGCTGCAATACCATCTTAATTGGAAAACGTATGCAAATGTGGAAAGTGTTAAAGAGAACATCGACATGTTTTTTTGCTTCAAAACCAAGTGATTTCTTTAATCAGGGCATTAATAACCTGAGTGTAAGATGGAAAAGCATCATCGATAAGGATGGAGACTATTTCATTTAATAAATGTTTTATTTTGATATATAAGTTGGTCGGGTTTTTTCATCTAGAAAAAGCGACATTAATTTCTTGACGACCTAATATATGAAATTCTGCACTAATACAATATAGCGAATGTTTGAAGTTATCGAAAATGTATGCCATTTACTCGTTAAACTTTCCAAGTAAATTTAATTTCACAGCATAAATTCATTGTATCGAGTTGATTGCATAGTATGTTACACGTTGCTCATAAAATATTGATATATTACAATAACTCAAAATCTAGAGGTGGTGGACAAATTTCTGACTGTAGGTTTGAAATCAGCACCATCAAAGTACTCGAATGACTTGCGTTTTCTCCAGTAGCAAATTTTTTGTTGTCTAGTGTTGCAGAAAAGAAATCATACTTTGATGTACACTGAGTGGTCACATGTAAATAGACACCGAATTTTTCGTCATTTAACTGATT